AACATTCTGCCGTGTTCACTTCTGCGCTACTGATTTCTTCACACACACAGAAGGTTTATTGAACCTTTAAACCACTACGAGGAGTTTGCCCTCTGGTCTTAGCTCCGCCCCCTCCCCCCCTCCTCCCCCTCCTCCTGGTCGGACCAACTGCTGGTCACAGACCCCTTCTGTCGCCATGGCGTTTGCCTCCCTGCGCCGAGCGCCTGTTTGTCTGTGATAAACTTCCATGAGTTGTTATTTATCCCTGATCTGGATTAACCCCCGCTGCAGCCTCTGGTTCTAACGTCATTTGTTTCTCATCTCGTACGGTGGAGTTGGTGTTTTGGTTGTAAACCAACGATAACGTGCAGGTAATTAAACATGCATGGGTTTGTCTGAGTGCACGGCTCCCCAGAGGGGTGAGGAGGGGGTGGAGGGGTGAGGAGATCCCTGAGGAATCCTGCTCTATAAATAACTCCCTCTGTGGGATCCATAATCTTAGCCTGATCATGGCTGGGGGGGGGGCTATGATGGTGATGGATAATAGATGACATGGAGAATGAGAGCAGCGTTTTCACTACTTAAGAACATCTGAATTTTTTTTTTTTTTTTTTTTTTGGAATTTTGCAGAATAGCCCTTTTTTCATGTTTCATTCCTCAAAAACCAAAACAAATCAAACCAAAAATGGAAAATAATCCGTATTTATTTAACCCCCAGCTCTTATTATTTTTGTTATTTAAATGTGACGCCCAAACACATGATAATAATAATAACAACATAAATTAAATAAAAACAACAAAATAAAACCATTTGTCCTCTGTTTTCCACCGGTCCTTGGTGCAGTGATGGACCTCGAACCTGAACCCCGTAGCCCTCAGACTGTTCCCTCTGTTTGTATGTATTATTATTATTAATATTTATGAAGACATCTTATCGTGCCGTCCAGGAGCCTCATGTCACTGTTTTCATTTGTGCAGTTGATGAATGGATTATATTTATTTGATGGAACTGTTTCGCTCCTGTCCTTCTTGGCCAGAACTGTTAAAGAGATTTAACTCAAAGTCTTTTCCTGGTCAAATAAAAGTTGCCCAAATTAAAAAAAAAGAAGATAAAACAGAAAACTCACCAAAGAACACATTAGCGAGTTATGGGTTCCACAAAGAGGGTTCTAAATATAGGGTCGGCGTCAGAGTTTTGAACCACTTGTTCCGATCGTTTGTTGGTGACTGGTCTGACAGAAGACGTCCTAATTATGCCTCAATATTTCTTCATATATTTATATATTTCTAATTCTGAGGAAAACGATGCCCATAGACCTTCAATCCATTTTTTTTTTTTTTGCAGCAGTGTTGTTTACATTTCCTCGTGCTGTCATGGCGATCCAGAAGGTACAGCCAAGTGTTGTCATGTGCTGTGACGCAGACACTTCCATTATATAGTAAATAAACCGTGCTGATTGGACGACCGGTGTCTTGATGTCACCCTGTCCAGCCTGTTGCTGTTCATACAGCTACCTTCAATCCATTCACACACACACACACACAGACACACACACCTGTGGGGCTGCGGTTGTCTCTGCCACAGGACGACTGCTGTCACATCGACAGATCGGTGTTGATGGAATTTTGCTGATTAGAAACGACGCATTAAAAAGAAAAAACTAAGATTAATAAACAGTATCGCATGTCGATTTAGTGATTCAGTCGCAGACCAAAATATATTTTTGATTTTAAATCTCCTTTTATCGTGTTATATATACGACTGTTTGATAAACATGCGATCGATGTTTTTTTCTTTTTTCTTTGTTAGGTTTAAGCTATTTCTGCTGCTGCTACGACTCCAACGAAACACGATTGGACGGTTAGCTTGTTGACGTACAACAACTGGAGGTTATCGGAACATCTTTCTGATATCGTGCAGATTTACCTGCCGATTTTAATGTCCGAGGAGCTTGGCTGCTCCATGACATTATTAAGATTTTTTTTTTTTTTTTAAAGTGAGAAGGCAAACAGAGGGCGTCATCCCTGCAAGGACAACAATACGTTTCTAGTGTCCAATTAAAATGACTGATGGGATAAATATATATTGTGAAATGTATGTGTAAATATATACAAATGTTTTATCGAACAAACTCGTAAGGTCAGCACTTGAGTATTGATGCGTCTGTTTTTGAGGAGAAAGCCAAATGGACTTTTTTTTTTTTTTTAATTATTGTTATGTTTTAGGCTGAGGCCTTCCATTTATTAATGAAAACAAACAGCTCCTTTGTGCAGCCTCTGTGGCATGCTTATGGAGAAAGGCACTTGTGGAAGCGTACATAAGTAGTGTGTGGATGTGGTCTAACTTCAGGGGGGCCCCACCGGCGCCCCACTTACTGAAGAACAAGGATGGCCGGGCTTTGTGTGAATGTCGGCGGCATGAGTCTATATGGGAAAATGCCGGGTAAAAAAGGCGTTAATTGAGGTGATGCTCTATACATTTCTGGCACCGTGGGGCTACAGCGGCTGGTGCCAGGGCCCCGGAAGAATGGCTCCCAGTATTCAAAGTGACACGGTGCCTGACATGCTCTGTGGCCCCTGTAAACAGTTTTTTTTTTCTTTCCCATTTGACCTTGATGTTTACTTCCTATTGAACTTGTGTGTTAACTGTTGACACCTATGTGTGTGTGTTGTGTTGTGTTGTGTGTGTGTGTAGATGGTATATAAGAGGAGGCTTTGTTTATGTAACACAGTAGATTGGCACAATCTGCGTGTTGTGTGATTACCATCAGCGTCCTCTGCCGTTGTGCGTCTTTGCTCATTAATGGCTGGGTGTCAAACAACAAGTTTGTAGGTCAGAGGTCCGTGTGTTGTCAACATGTGCATGTTTACAGCGCCCTCTGTTTGTGATTGTTAATACAATTCATACTTTAAATACGTATACACACGTGTTTCAGGCCCAAATCTTTGTTTACTGAAACTTTTTTTTTTGGTATAAATGCTCTGCTCACTTTCTGTTTGCCCGGTTCTCTTAAATATGCAGGAAAATTAATTTTATTTTTCTCTTTTATCATATACTTTTAACTGATTTTTATCTTACGTTTTATTAATATAATGTCTGGTGTGACGTCAGTGTCAGTTTTCGATTTGAAATATTCTTCTGTTAACGACGAAGAAACAGTTCCTACTCTTTCTTGGTGTCCTTTTGGGTTGATATATACAGTGAGTATATCTTCTGTTAACGACGAAGAAACAGTTCCGACTCTAAGCGTTTTCTTTCTTGGTGTCCTTTTGTGTTGATATATACAGTGAGTATACACTGTGTGTACTTACATGTATTGCAGTATTACAGTACAGTTTAACCCACAAATGCACCAGCGCAGGACCAGCACGTCTAAGCAGCGGCTGCCACACCCATTGTTCTCTCCCTACTGTCCCGTCGCCTGGTGTCAGGTTTCCTCCTGCTCTGCAAAACCTGCCCAGTACCAGAGATGTCATTGGCTGTCCCAGCAACTTAGTCCAACTCCTGTTACCGCCTCATTGGTCACTCGGGATGCCGGGACGACCAGGATGTGGAGCAAAAAATACGGATGATGGCTAGAATGTTTTGCCCGCGGTGCCAGTTGGTTTTGAGCGTTGATCAGACGCAGGGCAGGATTTAGGCTTAAGTTTGGATTTTTATGTGGCGTGAACTCGATTTATTCCGTTGCAGGATTTATTCCCACAGAACATAATTATGGATTAAGTTTCACAGATCTTGACACTTATTGATTTATTATAATATAGTGCAGCGTGTTTTAGTGGAATCAGAGCTCACGTCATGTATGAAGAGGCCCAGATTTAAAAAAAAAAAAAAATAAATTCTTGCCTGATCTTCTGCTCGTTTGCTCATCGCTGGAGCTGTGTGTGTGTTTCTGGAGAGTAATCTGATTACAGTAATACCACAGTTTTTGCATTTTGTCAGCCATGTGGATGCAGATGTAACCGGCGTGTGTGTGATGTGATGTGTTAGTACGCTGGATTAGTCCAATGAAACAGAATCTCTGTTGCAGTTTGAATGAAAACATTGTATATGACATATATTTAGTATATATTTTTATTCCACATAGGGGTTTATTATATATATATATATATATATATATATATTTCCACAAGTTCACGACTTGTTGCTCACTTTGACCCGACGTCTCCTGTTCGGTGAGAAACCCTCATGGTAAAGTGTGTAAATGTGTGTTCTGTGGATAATTGGGTCGGCAGCGCGCTCTTCTCTCCTTGCGTACCATGTGATGGTCACGCATGGACGCAGTCTACAGTGTAACGACGAGCACAGTAATAGAGAACGTTGGCTGAAACCCATGGTTCAAAAACACCGGCTCCTGCTGTTCATTCAGACACGTTTTTATTTCCTCAGTTCTCTCTTAAAGAACGCTCGTGGATTCAAACATAATAACGGAACAGACTTTTTTTTTCTAGTCCTGCTAATCCTTCAATGGAGGGAATCGAAATTATGATATATAATAATGCTTTATTTTAAACAAACTAACACAAGTGTCAACATTTATAACAATACCCAAAATGTCCAAATCAGGGCTACATAATAACCTAATTAATAATTTCTGTCTTTTTTTCTTTGTTTCATGCGAAAAAGTACCTTTGATAAATTGTTAAATATTTAGTGCAATATAATTTTACAAAACATTTTTCTTAATATGAAGTGTTTGTGTTTATAAGTGTTTATTTTTTTAAATTCATAAAGCGGGCCAGATTGAATCACCAAGCGGCCCGATTTTGGCCCACTGGCCGTATGTTTGACACCGCTTGTCTAAATTCATATTAAAAACTCACTACATGCGAGTTAGCTACGCGTCTGTTCTGCCAAGTTGTTTATACAGAAATCAGTTACGTTACAGTGCGTCTATTTTTTTATTTCCAACAACAACCTGGACTTCCTGGATATTTGGTTATTTTTAGGGACGTCTTCAAGGATTTCTGAGAGTTTGAAAATCCAAATTCATGTGTATTTGTCTCCTCGTCTCCTTCAGTGGACGTGAGCGCTGCAGCACTGCCCCCGCAGGTGCCTTCCGCCACCACAGCCATCCTTCCCATGGACCTGCGAGTCGTGGACCACCACCACCACCACCACCAGCAGCCCACATTCGGCCTGGTACCTCAACCCGAACCCATGCCTCCCGCCCCCAACGCTCACGTGTCCCCGGAGTCCGGCGGAGGAGCAGCCATCAGTAAGACGATGACGACGATGATGATGATGATGATGATGATGTGTGGACAGACATGTGTCTTCTTCTGGAATCATGATGAATTCTTTCCCGTCTCCCACAGACCACCCAGAGCAGCAGCTGCAGCAGGAGCTGGTGGCTCTCAAACACAAGCAGCAGCTACAGAGGCAGCTCCTCATCGCAGAGTTCCAGAGGCAACATGAGCAGCTGTCACGGCAACATGAGGTTCAACTGCAGGAACACATCAAGGTAATCCTCCTCCTCACCCCTCCCTCTCTCCTCTCCTTCTCAAGGACAGGGGGCCGGTGTATTTGTACACCTAGAGGGCAGTACTGTGTCATAATTTGATTTGATGGTACTTTTTTTTTGCTGCGTACTCATCTCCACGACAGGACCACTGCTCCCGCTAAACCCAAAGTGTGATATTCAATTTGCTGCTATTGCTTCTCCAATGTCAGTGAGGACGGACGGTGAGTCCGGGCTGGGACACCGGCTTGTCCTTCAGCCCACTAGACCAAGGTGCTGGTCAGGGGGGTTTTTCTGCTCTGACTTCTTGTTCAGTTCTTCAGTTTTTTCTTTTTTTTTTCCCACCAGCATCAACAGGATCTGCTGGCCCTCAAACACCAACAGGAGTTGTTGGACCATCAGAGGAAGCTGGAGCAGCAGCGCCACGAGCAGCAGCTGGAGAAGCAGCAGCGGGAACACAAACTCCAACAGCTCAAGAACAAGGAGAGGGGACAAGAAAGTGAGTAGCAGTGTGTATATATGTATGTTTATATGTCTATATGTACTCTATAAGTTATGTATTTATATATATGCATATATATGTTTATATATGTCTATATATACGTATATAAATATGTCTATATAATGTGTATATGTATATATATGAATATGTGTATATGTATCTATATATGTGTGTGTATATATATTTCTATATATATATTTTACTTATATATACACGTTTATACATATATGTATGTATATATTTATGTTTATATATGTATGTGTGATAAATACATATATATGTATATATAACATTTACGTATATATGTATTTATGTATATATATATGTGATATATGCTAAACTAAAAGTCTGCTGCATAGACGGGAGAAAAGAAAACGTGTGTGTCTGTCTGTTCCTTTAGTGCTTCCACTTTAATTGTTTCTCTAATTGTTTTGTGCTACGCTAATAGAAGTCAGCGTGAACGACTCGACTTACCTTTGTACTGAAAGGCGATACAGTAGATCAATTTTATTACCAAACGCTGCACAATACACAACAGCCAGGTCCTGGTCATACGACAGTAGCGCTGTAGCCGAGGTAGCGCTGTTCGTCACTGTTGTTTTTGTGCTAACATTGTAGCCTGATCGTACCTGGGCAGACGGGGACACTAGGTGGTGGAGTGGGTTGGAGCTTTTGCCTTACAACAGGAAGATCACGGGTTCATTCCCTGGCAGTAACTCATGGTCTTCCTGTGTGACTCAGTCAAGAAGTAGATATTAAATAAGGAACATATTTTTGTGTTGTATAATAAAAATGTATTTAATTATTATTATTATAATTGTAATTACAAAGGTTGTCCAGTAGTCTCGTGCTGGTCGCCTTGGACGATCTTCGACGCTGATTTACGGAATCCCTGTGTAGAATAGAAGTGCTGTCTGAGTATCAGTCATTGTGGATCCATATTTGGATCCACCATTTTCCCCCTGACCTTTTTTCTCCAACAAAGTCTACAGAAGCCGCTAACAGAGGAAGCTTTGTTAAGTGCTGCACTAAATGGCATAGAAGGGAGTCTCATAAAAGCAAATTTGCCTCAGTGGCAAAGCAGACATATTGGGATGTCAGCACTTCCAGCTGCACCGTGATTTAGAGATCACATATTAGCCGCCATCATTTTCACATAACACGGTTTTACCACTTTTCTCTCAAGCTGGCCTCATCGCTCCACTCCTCTCCCTCTGTCACATCTTTAAGGACTTCCCTCCCGCAGTTAAAACATCTCTCTTCCTCCCTCCCGTTATTGCTCTCCTCCCTGTGTTTAATATATTTTTTAATGGCCTCTCGCTCGCTCTGCCTCTCACTCATCAGCCTCCCTGGACAATTTGTTTGTAGCTGTGAAATGAGCGTGGTAATTGAAGAGAGACTAGCAGCGGAGTGAAACTAGTCTTGGAGGGGAGTTACGGAGCCCTGCTGTCGTTTCCACAGAGTTTCACAGAGATTCTGATCCAGGCGTGGCGACACACACACACACACAAACACACGCACACGCAGATTGATATTGTCATAAACCTTGTGTTCGTGTCACAGATCCAACAGGCTTTACACTGACTAGAAAAAAAAGACTGAAAAACATGATTTATCGTCGTCATTATTCATTTAAATTATAATTTTTTTTTATTTAAAAAAGGTCATTTCCAGTGTTGAATCGTGGGCAGAGGCTCGTTTTGTTGATTGTTTCTGTCTGCTCTCAGGTGCAGTGGCCAGTACAGAGGTAAAGATGCGACTTCAGGAGTTTGTCCTCAACAAAAAGAAAGCCCTGGCTCAGCGTAATCTAAACCACTGTCTGCCCAGCGACCCGCGCTTCTGGTATGGGTAAGTGTCACGGCGCAGTGTCTCTGGTGATTGGTGGGACGTCAGTCCTGGCCGACCAGGATCACATTTGGATTCTGTACACCGTGTGGTAGACTGGTGTGAACAAATAAAAAAAAACAACACAGTTTTGTGATGGTGAGGTGGAGCGGCAGGAACTCAAGACGTTATGATGTCGTTTTCTCTCACCCTCACTACCTTGTGTTGTGTTCCTGAAGCCCCGCCCCCTTCCATCCTACCTTGTGTTGTGTTCCTGAAGCCCCACCCCCTTCCACCAACACACTCACAGCTATTACTTTATTGAAAACACTGTAATTCCTCAAAACTGATATTCTCTAAATAAATTTGGAAAAAAATAAATAAAAATAAATAAATAAAAAAGTGAATTTTTACTACTGAGGCACAAATAAATTAATTAATTAAAATAAAATAAAATAAAATAAATGGATTTGACCTGATGCCCCTTCCTAATTTCACCACAATCAATTCTCGCCCCTTAGGGGGCGCTGTCCCCCATTTTGGGAACCACTGTATTAAAGTTCCACAGTGGTTGTCATTTTGTACGTTTCGTCATTTTGAGATTAAATCAACCTGAGCTGCTCGTCTAATGGAACGGATCCAGAAATGATTTTCATTCTTTTTCTCGTCTCTCTTCTGCTTCTGTAGGAAAACACAGCACAGCTCACCCTTCCTTCCTTCATTCCTTCCTTCCTTCCTTCCCCCCCCCCCCCCCCCCCCCCCCCCCGTCACTCCCCCTCCCCCCCTTCTCCTCCCCCTTCTCCCCCTCGGCCCCTGCAAAAGCAGTAGACATAACTGAATAATGTGCAAAGTCATGCATATGAAACAGCAGTCAGCGGCTGGAAGCAGCTCCTAAAAAGGTTTTTCTTCTGAATGTTTTTTTTTTTTTAATCTCTCTGAGAATAGTTGGAGACGCAGTGAAAACAACAGATGTGTGTGTGTGTGTGTGTTCACGTTTACATACTATGACTTTACCACACTGTGCTCAACACCCGTCTGTGTACGGTCAGATATCAAGGTAATTAAATTATAATAAATTTAAAATTAACAGGAAAAAGAAAAAAAAAATACAATTTTTACATATATATTTATGTATGTATATAGGATTATATATAGATTTAGGGATATATTTTATATATTATACATATACACATGTATATACACGTCTGCTGCTGTATTTATGTATCTATATATACCTATAAGTAAATAAATATATATTGACATATACATATATATTTCGACATATATCTAGATGTATATGTATGTATATATATTTTTTTTTTCTCCCATTTACGAATGTTGATTTATCTCAATTCATATTTCTATAACATCTTTGACACAGAAAACATTTAAAAGTTTTTTTTTTTAATTTCCAACAATGCAACAACATCTTACTGTTGCTGACGAGTTGAAGAACGGTTGAATTTGCAGAAGTGGATCCTAAATGCAGTTGTCGTTGAAGGAACGAGAGACAGAGAGACAGAGAGGGGGAGGGGGGGGGGGGGGGGGCGGCACATGTGCACACATATGGCACGGCGGTTTGAAACTGGAACTGTTGTGTCAGTAGTGAGCAGACAAAGATCAGATTAGAGCCACGCACACACAGAGAAGTGAACTGTGCTGGAACAGGAAGTGAGTGACAGTGGTGGCCACAGTTGTGTGTGTGTGTGTTGGCTGCAGTCGCTGCTCATGACGTTTGTCAGTGTGGTGACCCCTAATGGCTGATGCATGCATGTAAATTATAAATGTATGTGAAGAATTCCTCTCCTCCCCGGGGAGGGCGGACATACAGAACATCACAACGGCGTTATTGTCCAACTCCGAGCTGCTCTGTGATCGTGGCCGTCACGACACACAGAGAGCGGCTTTGAACGCAGGAACAGGAAGTGTGCAAGTCCTTCATGACAGACGCAGACTTGTCACGATGACCCCTCTCTGTCTCCCTGCTCTTTTCCCTCGGACGCATTCCCGTATCACGCTGACCTCTCCGTCAGTTGCTTCGTCCGCGGCTGCTTTCTGTGTAAATGTTCTAAGACGTTTGTGCTGTTCTCCCGGGGGATTCTGGGACATGTGATGATCAGCAGCTAAACGGCTAAAATGTAAATAATGGCAAACAGAAATCACCATCGTCCTTTTCCTGACCGTTTGATTCCGGGGTCTGTTTGTGTTTCGGTTTAAATGGAAAATATTTGACATTAACAAAGAATTTAAAGCTGCACCAAGAAAAAAACAACATTCGTTTACTCTAATGCGCCTCGGCTCTCCCAGAGAAAATGTATGTGAGATGAAGCGGCGTCTCTGTTTATGTTCGTCTATTTATGTAGAGCAGCAGCCGGACATAATATTTCTGGGAAGTGGTATTGATGACTTTCAGAAAACGGCTCTATTGATTCCTATAAATCTCTGTACTGCTCCTGAGAGGGGGCAGCGTGGCTTCCCTCGGTGCAGGACTCCCGTCTGTCAAAACAGATGAGCAAACGATCAATATGTTTTGTATCAGACAACCATCTCTGCTCCTCCTCTGCTCCTTATTGAGCACCACTTGTGGAGATGTTTAATCTGGTATTGATGTGCAAATCTACGAGCCGATTTCCTACGGTCGTACGGGTGTAGAGACTCCAGTGGTGATTCTCCGACTGTCACCTGAAGACAATGTTTCCAAAAAGACACGATTAACCCTGAAGACAATGTTTCCAAAAAGACACAATTAACATGACTGTTAAATAATCACGATTAATCAGTAATTTCTTATTATGTTAATAATTACGATTAATTGTAATTAATCAATATAAATCAACATGAACTTTTTTATCTGTTGTTTTACAGATATTTAAAAAATATTAACAACAGTGTAGGTGAAAATGTATCTTCATAGAGTTGTTAGATTTTAGTCATAAACCTTTTTTATCTGTTGTTTTACAGATATTCTAAAAATATTAACAACAGTGTAGATGAAAATGTATCTTCATAGAGTTGCTGGATTTTAGTTGTTCATATCGACAGTATCTCGTAGAAGCTAATGGAAGCTGAGCCTCAACAGGGTTTAATACGCTCCAACACCATAGACACGAATGAGAAGAAAATGTCGTCAGACAGAAATTTCCCTCTGTCCAGTCGAATGTCCGGCCCACCACTGTGACCACTGTCCCCCCCTTGTCGTCTCTGTTCCTCACTTTTATCCTCCTCCTGCTGCGTTGACTCCTAACGTCTCGCTCGTCTTTATCTTTATCTGTGTGCGTCGATATACTAATATAAATATACTGTATATATGGAAGTCCAAAAACTGAACTTGAGTGCACTCTGCTCCGTCTCTCGCTGCTCTTTTCTTCTTCTCCAGTCCAACTAATGCACAGCATTAACAGAACAGACTCGGCCTGCTCCTATTAATGAAGACTTTGGAAGCTCTGCTTCCACTCATAAGAGGCATTTTGGATATAATTGAGTTTCATGACTTGCATCACTGTCTTACTTTATTCAAAGTGCATTTGAAACACACAAAACAGAAGTACAGTTCAGATGTTTGTTTCGCCGAAGTATTTACAGTTTTACTGTAGTTTCATTACACGCCGACATCCGAGTTTGCAGGAAGCTTATCTCAAAGAACGAAGTTAAAGAAGAAAAATTTAATTGGATCCAACGGACTGTTATTGGTGGCCAACAGGAGAAAGACTGATAGGAGCTGTATTCCGTGTAGTCTGGCAGAAAGAGGAATAAATAAGAGACTGGCCAGGATTGACCAATCAGAGCCAAGCTACTAATCAAACAGCTGGTGAGCATCTGTTTTCAAGCAGATCACAAGCAAAGTGTACTGATTCCAGTAAACTCAAACACACACACAGATTCAATATTTTTTTACGTTGCAACAAACAGTGGTTTTCATCAGGTTGCGATGGTCAGTCTGACCAATGAGGACAAATACAGATAAAAAACATCAACATCCAAATGTATCGATGAGCAAAATGCTAAAGTGATTGTTCAAAAAAAGGTTGAAAGTTGTGCATGTATGCAGGCCCCATGTGACGCTACCAGCCAATGAAATTTGCGGGTCACCCCGGTTTACATTTGACCTTTACATTTCAGACCTCCTTCTGGAAAATACCAAAAAGAACAGCACATTAGGAAGACCATAGGGATAATACCGATATTAGCATAATTATGTAATAGGTAAAAGAATTTGGAACTTGGGTTTCGCCAAATATGTTGGAATCGCTTATGGGATCCTGCTACGTTTACCGCAGTTTTGTGGCGAAATGGCTGCATGTATCGGTATCGGTTGATATTGGAATCGGAAATATTTGCTTATCGGATATAAGCAAAAAGTTAACGTTGGACATTCCTAGTAGACAAAGGAGTAGTATTACAGTAGTATTACACATTGTACCAAGAAAGTGTTTCCGATAAAAGTCTGTCAACACTGGTAACTGTAGTCGTTCAGTTTTCACTCAGAGTTAGAAATGATCTCACCTTCTCGTCCGTGTCTCCTCAGCCTCTGAGCCCAACCTGAAGCTTCGTTCCAGGCTAAAGCAGAAGGTCACCGAGTGTCGCAGCAGTCCTCTGCTCCGCAGGAAAGACGGTCTGATCACCACAGCCAAGAAGCGATCCTTGGACGTGGCCGGTGAGAACTCGTTCTGAGATTTCACTCAGTGTTTTACAGTAAAGGGTCGTTAGAGTCACCACTGTGGTCCCTGCTGTGTGTCTTTTTTAGAGTCCGCCTGCAACAGTGCACCAGGTTCAGGTCCCAGCTCCCCCAACAACAGCTCCAGTAACATCCCCAATGAGAATGGGATCACTATATCCAGCAGCCCTGGAGAGGTAATGCACCCGAAATATATATACAAAATACATGAGTAATGAGAAAAACAATGTATCTTAATGAGTACTCCAATCTGAATGCATATATAAATACATGCCGTAAATATTTATAATCTGGTTCCTTTTAGAGGAAGAGCTGATAGCACGTCAGATTAGCATGCCCGCTCTCTTTTGTTGTTCGAGCGCTTCTTTAATCGGTTGCGTCTTTAAGAGGAACCACATGGTAACTGAAGCAGCAGTTCTGGTATTTTATTGACTTCATGTTACTACTACTGCTACATATGGAAGTAGACTCAGTAGTAGTGGTGGGAGTAGTTGATGTAAATCTTCTGCAAATGTGCAGCTTAGGTTAGCATCCCACATCTGATGTAGCAGGTGGGTGACAGTTGAGATATCGTAGACATCTTTGGAACTCTCATCTTTTGGAATATCTAAAAATGCCCTTTAGAAGAACTGTTCCGGGAATTTAAAATAATTTGGGGCTAATCCCTGTCCATGACCCGTGTTGTTCGGTTGTTCTCCGTGTCCAGGCCTCACTGCTCCACCGACTGGCTGCACGGGAAAGTTCACTGAGCCAGTTGTCTCTGTACACGTCGCCCTCCCTCCCCAACATCACCCTGGGACTCCCTGCCCCAGGACTAGCCAACACTGTGAGTATATCTACGTACGTTCGGTGTCCAACCACCCTCAACTTTTCTTCTTCCGTCCTTCAGTCATGACGTCGCCCTCTCTTCGCAGGTCGTGTCGGGACACCAAGACGGTGAGAGTCATCTGCCCGCTTTTCAGCAGGGCATTCCTCTGACTTCCCCTTTTCTGCCCACTGCCCACCTGCCCTCCTACTTGGCGTCGCCAGCACTAGAGAGGGAGGGGGTGACGGGGGCCACAACTGGCCACAACCAGCTCCTCCAACACATGGCGCTGCTGGAGCAGAGCCACAATCCAGTGGGTCAGTGTTTCAAGACATGTATTTTCACTAATGGTTGCTGAATATTTATACATCTAGTTTGTACTGTTTTGGCTAAAATATATTTTAAAATATATAAATATAATATGTAAAATATATCAGCCAATATATGTGGTTTTCATAGTGTAGCGGTTGCCATGCTTGCCTTGTCTAGCAGAAAGTCCTAGGTTTGATTCCCAGAGGAATCACATATCCCTAATGGCGCCTCTTGTGGCGGCCTGTGTTGGTTGCAACACTCGCACTCTAAATTTCCTCCACTGTGGGACCGATGACTTTTGATGCACTAACCTGTTGCTCTGAACGCCCTGTGTTTACCCAGTGGGTCTGGGTGGACTTCCACTACCGTCACCCACCGTGTCAAAGCTCGCCCGCGGTCACCGTCCACTAGGTAGAACCCAGTCTGCTCCTCTGCCCCAGCAACAGTGCGTCCCGGCCCAGGCTTTGCAGCAGCTGGTGGTCCAGCAGCAGCACCAGCAGTTCCGGGAGAAGCACAAACAAATGTTCCAGCA